TAGAATAGAATCTAATCATAATTACAAAATACTACATAATATGAGATGAGATGCGATACTGCACCCTTCAAATTTATTGCTATTCATTGACCTCGCGATAACGGGACACGGGACGGGTCGTGACGATGACGCGAAATCCAATGTTTTTCTCCACCCAAAAAAGTGCTCAACGCGCCTAGAAGTTCTCACTTCGAAAAAATTGTTTTTTTCATAAGTGCAATTATGATCGAAATTTGTATTTCAGCAAGCAGGTCTGAATTAGAGAACATGAAATTTGAATCAAGGATTTCTTTCATTCTACACACTGTATATATCAATATAACCCTTATATCAGTAATAGCAGTGTGAATTCGTAAGAATGAAGATATTTGAAACTAGGCAATCGTCTACGTATATACCCTATACAGAAAACACGAAATTTCTATTTATAGCCATCTGAACTTGATAAAAAATCTTGCACACATTATTTCTGAATTACACAGACTATTTTGCCCTGAACAATGATTTCGATCCCCATCCTTGGAAGTTTTTCTGGTGACGCCAATAATGATAAGTTATATTAGTAGGAAATGAAATTAAAAAGGAAAAGAAATATTCGAAAGACTACTTGTGAAGACAGTTTCAAAAATCATGACATAAATTTTCATTGTAGCAAGTAGCGAGAATTTGCTTGACTTGAATGGAGTGAAAAGTGGAATCATGTTCAGCAGGCCCGTGGAGCAGTAGCACTGGCAACACTGCACGTACATAATACAATTACCTACGATTGCATTCAATTGTGTGCCATCTATTGGTGACCTGCTGTAACAGACGAAATCGAAGAACTCTACAATAGCTGTGAAAGCTGTAATTTAATTATTTTATTCCGATTTCGACATCACACTGACACCTGGAAATAGTTGTTGAACTAGTATATATATATAGGCTATATTCGGTCGGAAAGCTGTCGCGAAAGGCCCGCCTTAACTCAGAAACGGCTAATGAAATAACAGTCAAAACTACTTACTATGAAGAAAATGTTACCGTTAATAATGCGTCAAAATATAGGAAGTTAGTGAATTGGACGTCCTGTTTTTGAATCCGAAGTGATTTTCGACTCAGCTTGTCTCTTGATTTTTATTATTTATTTTCCGGACATGTGTGTAGTTCCACGGCTGTTGGCGAGCAGTTTATATCACTGAAGATGACTCCACTTGGTCATGGAGTACATTTTATTGTACGGTGGTGTTTCCATGAAAAGTGAGACAAAAATGAAATTTTCAGAACTAAGAATTTTTCAGGCAAAATATAAATAATTAGTGAATGGGCGTCCAGATTCCGAATCCAAAGTGATTTTTAACCTATTTTGACTCCTTATATTATTTTCCGGAAATTGCGGTGGTTCCATAGCTGTTGGCGAGCAGTGTGAATCACTGAAGATGACCCCACTTGGTAATAAAGTGCATTTTTGGTATATCTCTCGCTCCAGCAAATTTCAGGATCCTCACCCAGCGATTACGTGAGATACAGGGGTGTTTCCATTAAAAGTGGGACACACTGTATAAGCAGCACACTAGAATAGGATATTTAGTTTCAATCTTAACTTGAAGATGCTTACATAGGTTTGATAAAACAGTGTAGTTGTATTATCGTGCCGAAGGTTCCAGTCTCTGATATATGTAATAGTGTTCAACATTGTGAACGTTTCTGTGACCAATGGAGAGAAAATAACATTCAAACCCCTAATATTTATATTCGAACCTCAATAGGTTTAGGGAATCTGTTCATATGAGCTGTCCTTCTCGAATTGAGCTAAGAAACCATATCCTATAATTTCAGCCATTAATTAAAATACACACTGTACATATATATAAAGTACTCACTTTTTCCCTTTGGGGAAAATATTAATATATGGAAAGCGACATTCTGTAACAAGTTGAAACGAGATGAAATTTCCAACTTTTTTCCCGGCACAGAAAGAATGTTATTATTAGATTAGATTTGGAATGGGGCCTTCGGGCTATCTGCCTCCACACTGCGACCTTTTCAGATCTATTGTGCCTGCCCTCAAAATGGATTAGAGTTCTTCGGCTAGCCCCGCCTTCTCTATGAGACTCCATAGGCTAGCTTTCAGATCTCCTGTGTATCTCTGGGCTCCTGGTTTTTCCTCACCCAGCGTAAGGAACCTTAGTCTTGACAAGCCCTCACAGTGGCGAAGTATGTGTACTGCTGTTTCTTCCTCTTCTTGACAGAACCTGCACAGCAGTTCTTCAGTCAGACCTATCGTACTCATGTGTTTGTTGAGCCTACAATGCCCTGTGAGAAGTCCCACTAGTATTCTAGTTGAACTTCGTTTCTTGCTTAGTAGATATTCTGTGAATGTTGGCGATGGTTTTTTAATAAACTCTTTTGCCTGTCTCATTTCTGGCGAGTTGTTCCACCATTCTTGAGATTTAGTTTGCATCCATGATTTGATACTAGTCTTTTGTATAGCTTTCGCAATACCACAGAAGGGTTCTGGGCCATTAAGAGCTTCGTTTGCTCCTGCTCGGGCAAGTGAGTCTGCCTCTTCATTGCCCTCGTACCCTCTGTATGTGCTGGTACCCATGGTAGAGTCAATCTGTTCTGACTGCCCAGTGCATTTAGGGTTTCTAAACAGTCCCATACTAGTTTTGAGTTAACTTGCATAGAGTTGACTGCTTTGATTGCCGCCTGGCAAACTGAATAGATTGCAATGGTTTTGCCTTTAAACTCTTGCCTTATCAATTCTTTCACGCAATGATGTATTGCAATAATTTCTGCCTGAAACACCTTCGCGTATTTACCTTAGCTCAGTTAGATTCTTGTCTTTGGCTTGGACCCAAAAATACCAGCTCCTGATCCTTTCTCATGTTATTATTTCTCGAAACCCCTCTGAGAAAATTTTGTTGCAGGTGGAAGATGAAGACGTGGGAGAGTACTATTGCCATGCTGAGAACGCGTTCGGCAGCTCCACTCAGCCGGTGTCGGTGCGGATCAGAAATATCGCCGCTGTCGGCAACGTGACTCAGTGCTGCCTCGAGCAGAACGTCACCAGCGCGTGCATGGATGCTTGTTCTTCGTATCTAGATATCGATGCGGTTAGTATAATAAAAATATGGACATCCATATGATAAATGTAAGGAACTTCACGAAAAATAAGATTTACACAATAGTTATTCAACTGCTAGATCTCATGACTAAGAGTTCCAGGATGAACAGAGTTTTGCCCTAACTGTCAGCAGGAGCGAGACAGTACTGTTTCGACCCACCAGGTCTCATCAGCCGTTCTCGGTCTGCTGACAACTGGGACAAGTCTACGCTTCGGATATATCACCTATTTCGAAAACGCAGGGTATAACATGAGGTTCTAGTCATGTTGTAGCCATCTAGTGGCAAAGCTCTAAGGTAGGGTCAAGAGATCGCGACACACACTGTATGGCGCTGCCATCTATAGTCACATGTAGTACCACTCTGTAGCGTTTCAAATATTTCAGACGTGTAGATCATGTTAATTTATACATACCTTCGAGTTTTTAGATTTATCCGTTGCCTGGTTTGCCAGAAACATCTAATTAACGCTTATCGTGAGAAGCCCTGTATAGTTTTGATGACGGACCTGCAACTAAGTCTGGAACAAAGAACGATATGAAATACTCCTTCTAAATGTAATACTCACGTATACTGAATAGGAAGTAATATAATTAATAAATCTCGTCTGATTCCAATTTTGTACCCCAAAATGAGCAAAAATAATATTTCGAGCACATAATATGAATAGTTAAAATCGTCTGTGCACGAATAAAAAGCACATCGTTGAATAGAAATTTTGATGTTCTTTTCAGATATGGCAAAAAAAATGAGAAATTCGAATGTATAGGGTGTTGTTTTCTGGGAAAAAGAATTTGTGAATTTTAAGTGAAGCCGGACCTGGATATTATTTCTTGTTGTTGCCCCAATCAATTCCACAGGATAGATTGAGCAAGTGTACTAATTTTTAAAAATATATACAGGTTGGTTGGAAAGTTATGAGACAATGAATATATTGACAAAATTGATGAAACATCCTGTATCTCGGTTATAAGAAGTCGAAGACCCATCAACCATGGGTTTTTTGAAACAGTTGAATTATTTACCTTTCCCAATGAAACACCCTGTATATATTTTATATAATTTCGTTACCATAATTAACGTTACGAAGATAACGAAACTGACATAAATATTACATTCTATCTAGATGTTATGTAAAATTTACATCCCTATTATGTAAAAATGTCAGCGTCAAATATAAACCTCATTTTCATATAATATTGATGCAACTACTTGACTAATATTTGAAATTAATATCAGAATTTAACAAATAACTTATTCACCGCACCAACTCACTTTACAAGCATAATGCACATTTTGATGACTAAGTTATCATCTCAGTAGGTGATCTACACTCTACACACTATATAATATCTATACTGATATAACTGATACCATAAATTAACGGGATTTTCAAAGAGGGGTTTCCCATGCCCTTATGAAAGCGCTTCTTGAAGGAAAATATCAATAAAATTGATGTGGCAAACAGCCAGCACGTGTTTAGATTGATATTTTCCTTTAAGTAGCGCTTTCACAACGGCACAAGGAACCCCTTTTTAAAAAACCCATCAATTCATGGTGTTGTCAAAAAACAAAACTTTTTGGCAATACTTTTCATATACCATTCTGGTATATGAAATGTTCAATGAAAAACAATAGTATGCGCTCTCAGGGCACAGGGCCCGTCATTCATTAAGAACCCGTTTTTTCAGTCACTCTGGAATTCTTGGCTATGGGCATTGATCATAATTCAATAAATAGTAGCATCAAAAATGTTTTCAACTCCAAACCTTGATTATGTAACAATATCATCAAAATTTGTGGAGATGACTTCGGGCATTACTTTGTTCCTGTGAAATATATTTCACTCCACTTTGAGCAATATGGACTTCAACCAAAGATGAATTCCAATTATGTTTTCCGTCATAGGTTATCGACAAGCCGGAATGCCTTCCCGATTTCGACAAGCTGATGAAATGTGCCGCCGACGGATCAGACCACAGGAGTTGCTGTTCCCGTCAGAATATTCCCAGGAGATGCTTGGATTGGTGCAGGGGAGAGCCGGTCCTGAACAACAAGATTTGCGTCTTGTCTTACACCAAACTGATAATGGCTTGTTTCCACGAAGAAAGGTTAGATACAGCCATCGAACAACAACTTGTCTGAAAGTAGTTGTTCGATGATACAGCGAAAGTCTCAATCATCAACACTCAACAATGGTGGAGACCACTGACTTTTCAAAACGAAATCATCGTCAGCTCATTGATTAAATGAACCCCTGGTGTACGGACTTCAATCCTTTCATGTTTTACAATTCCTTGATTCTCGCCTACTTCGATAAACATAACATATGACCACTGTGCAAAAACTCGTACTACTAACGTTGATAAATAGTAACCAAGGTGCATTGTAACTTTATGATCCTTGTCCCATTCACGTCTCAAAGACCGTTTTAGAGTCGTTATATGTCCACCAACATAACAATATCTCAGTATCGTTAAATATATGATTCAAATCTGATATGTTAACTGAAACGACTTTGTTACATCAAAAGTACTTCCACTACACGGTAACTACAATGAAACGGTAATAATTCATGTAACATCACTGGAAACTGCTTTCTTACATCAAAAGTACTTTCCTAAGGAGTAACTATACAATGAAACCATAATGTATTCAGTAATTTCTTTTCATGTGTTTCGAGATGTGAAAAGTGCATTGTAATATACAAGGTATTCCATCCATGTTGCACTACACACTAGAATTTTTGGGTCAAATAATCTGAAAAAAAAAGTCATATATACTCAATATGCCCGACAACGATTATTCTCTCAGATACAATGAGTTCAATCATCATGTACCCATCACGAAAATGGATCGTTTTCGAACATACTTATATTTATAGAAACTTTTTTCATATTTTGACCCAAAAAAATCGATCTTGAATATCAATTTGTACATTTCTAATTTTTCAATTAATCAAAATAGTTTTATCGGTTTTGATTGAATAATTTGAAGTAAAATTCAGATTAGAAACTGATAAATATATATATTTTATTATATCAACTTCATGGTTAACAACACAACAACAACAACAAAACGTAATATTATTCAATGAATGAACCAAACAAAAACAGGAAATGATTCCTCGATATAAATTAAAATTAATGGCGAATATAAACTGGAAATAAAGGTTTGCTAAGCAAGGAGGCAGGAGAGCAAGAGCTGTTTGGAATGACGAAGCCACCCCATTTGCTTTTGTATGAAACGAGCAGTCCGAACAAGAGGAAAAACCTCACGGACTGCACCTGAGTCAAATATGAATTGGAGTTCACAATAATAATAATAATAATGCCAAACGAGTACAATTTCAGCATATCAAATATTCATATCTTACTAACTCGATCAGTTCCCTTCCTGATATTATGTTTTTTATTCTCGATACTTCCACCCTCCTGCAACAGAGGGTGGCTTTAGAGTGTTTTAACCCTATGTGAGAGTCGATTTTCTTCTTGTCAAAACACCTTTTAAGATTCGGGTGTCTCTATTCAATGTCTCTATGCTTGATTGAATGAAATCCCAGAGACTTACATTCTGAAATGTATACCAAATGATGAGATAGAGAGATATAATGTGAACAACGATGGAGTCGATGTATCTCCATTTGCCTATTGCACTCGTTATATACCCTTCAAAGTCGCTTATAAGGTCACTGCAGTCGTAACTGCTTCAACTGTATGCATGCAATATGTTATACTGCAGAGTTACAGTGTAAACATAGTCGAAGTCGAAGTTTCTTGTTCTGCAAGCTAATGTGCACAACGATGAAGTCGATGTATTTTCATTCGCCTATTGTAGCCGTTATAATCCCTTCAAAGTCGTCTTATACGGTCACTGCAATCGTTCCTGCATCAACTGTATGCATGTCAGATGCTAGACTGCAGAAATACAGTGTGAACATAGTCGAAGTCGAAGTTTCTTGTTTGCAAGTTGTGTGCGTTATACCCGCTTAGAAGTCGTCTCATATGGGCATTGCGAACTCGTCTGCTTCAATAGTATCCATGTGAGATGATAGGATAGAGAGATAGAGTGTGCATCGAACTTTATTATAATAAAAAACTGTTGTCTTACCTTCTTCCATGATATACATTGAAATAAGCATTTCACATTTTCATATATGTAACGTTCCTATAGGTAAACAGAGCAGATTTGTATTCCATCATTTCTAATATAGGATAGGTCCAGTGGGTAGGTCTGTTCAGAGCTCACATTTTGTTCTAGAAATGTAGGTACCTATCCAGATTCCCATTAAACTCCTTATGAGTACTGAGGACCTGTAAACAATGCAGTACTTGATGACATTGATATTGATATCTTCCGGTCATCGTGAATGCACATGAATCAAACTATTTGGGCTAGCTTGGTCACTGATGTAAAACTGGTAAACTTGAGTGAGTTATTCTTCTTTATTGTATGATCTATCCTCAAAATTCAAATAATATCACAGAGTTATTCAATCCAAAAGAGAGAAACAATAAATAATAACACTTCCAGATATATTCTCTTAGGAAGATAACGATGAAATTTGACTGACGCCATATATTGAAGTCATAAAAAGTCTGATACTGTGTGCTGATACTTGAAAACAATAAAAGTTATGATATTGCTAACTCAACTCACCTATATATTACCGTGATCTCACCATGTTTCTCAAAAATGGCACTCACACTCGATTGTCTTGACTGACTAAAATAAATTCACACTTTGTGAGACACAAGAAACGAAGAAATTATACTAATATTCACGAACAGAATCATCTGGCATCATCAATCCTCTCGAACAAATTTACACAAAATGGCGAATATTAGCCATGAGAATTAATAACGTATATACGGTTTGACAAATGATGACAAGTACGTCACATAAAACGTTCTGGGAATGAAATGAGAATTATCTGAAGGAGACGTTGAAATATTGACTCGAAAAAGATCGCATGAATGTGCATAGGTCAGTTTACTGTAACGAAACAGCGACGTTCATCTGGAGATGTAGCTGAGACAGACCAAATAAGGGACAAATTGAAACGTTTCCTAAATATGTTATTATAACTTCTAAAAGATGTTGTCTCAAAATGGTCACCAAAGGTACAAGAAATTAACGTTAAGAAACCTCCCTGGGATCATGTTCATTGCTCAGTGGGAGGCGTGGTTGAATCACGCTAAGTTTAGTCTGGTACCGTACCAAAATTACAGGCATCAATGTGACCGAATTATGACCGAATTGTGACCAATGATAGGGTATACATTTTGCGTTTTAGCCGCATCAAGGTTGGTGGAGCTGATGTTGATCATAAGTTCTAGAAAATAACGCCATCTAACATTCAATTATGTGAACCCCACGTCATCGTCTGAAATTCAATTGTTTTCATTCGGTTTTCATCAAGAACCAGTCTGACGAAACAAATGAAGAGTGAGCGTACCAGAGGTTTATTCCATCAATGTTAGCTCCATAGCAGAGACCCACTAAACATGAAAACATAAATCTTATATGACATTCCCTAATAGCAAGCAACCTCCTAGCGACGTCCCTAATTGGTACAATTCAATTCCGAATGTACCGGACTTTCAATAATTGTCCTTGCTTGGGACGTCCCATTCCGTACGTATCATGCAATGACCAAACAAGGACGTCCATGGAATATCCGATGAGTTGGAACATCATTTCAAATGTCCTAGAAATAGCATCCTCCATACCTCCCACGTGGTACATATTGTAGAAAGTCTATGCAAGGACGTCCCTAGCATATCCCTGATGGGATATAATTTTAAACGTACCTTCAGGGACATCTATCATCAGATATCCCAAGTAGTGCATCTTCTGGTATGTGTTCAGATGTTATGTAATGTCATTTCTTCGAATATCTCTGCACGGACGCCCTTATTATTTCCAGGATCGTATAATATTCGGAATGTCCCTCAGGGATATCCGTTGGATGTCCCAATTGGTACATGAATTTTTATGACTTCGGAAGAAATTCCTTTAGATAATCCATATGTTCATCAAAGTAATAGGTACAAGAATATTCTCCAGAGAATATAATATCATGAGATGTCATGAGTACCTACAACGATGTACGTCCTCAGGGTATCCTGAAAACGTTTCGGAATGCGTCCCAAAAGGGACATTCATCAGTGGTATACATTGGCACCAGGACTCCAGATAGACATCCTATACCTATATAAATGTCCTTCACGCAAGCGAATGATCATTTTCGTCTACCAATGTCCTAGAAACCGGAAGTGATTTTCAATAATTCAGTTATGGAAAATATGGAGTTGAAAGAACTTAATTTTCGATCGAAATGTCAAATGTCTAACATGAAAACAATTTAATGAATAGTCCTATGTATTGAGTGAGTATTTCACAAGAATATTTCCAGGGATAAGCTTCCTGGTCCACCGCAGAATGTACGAGTCGATTTCATCGATAACCATTCAGTTGACGTCATATGGGATCCTCCGTTCAAAAATGCACACACTGTAGAATTGTACAGGGTGATTGTCACGAACATCGATTCGAGCACCAAAGAGAGCTTCAGGAAGGACACAGCTGAATCTCAAATAAAAATCGACGATCTCAAAGGTGAGTTTATACCTTGATAATTATTCCAGTTCACCTGATTTAGGTACCTAGTCAATTTACGATATCTTCCGCTGTTTCGTTCCTTTAGGAATTGAAAAATCGATTTTTTGAAGAAAATTTAACACCCTGTATCTCAGAAACAGATCGTCTTCGGACATAGGTTTGGATGAACTTTTTGTCTTATTTTTACTCAAAAATACGACCTCGTAGTTTTGTGCAATATTTATGAATCATCCTGTATTCCTCAGAATAATATTCTTTTATATACCAAGGTAGTTGAGAATATCATTATCACTCAATAAAAAAATAATTCAAATGCATCGATTATATTTCAAATCCCAATAACTCGAAAACAGTTGCTCGCAGCGACTACTACCAGGAATATATTTTTTACACAAAAGTGTTCTAGAAAACTGTTTTCTTACTATAAAACGTGATACAGGTACGCACAAAAAAGTTATGACTTCTCAAAAGACTCAAAAGACATGTATCTATAGGTGGTGCCACCCACACGAAATAGACAAACTAACATAAAATTCGATATTGTCATTGAAAGATACCCCTAGATACCAAACTTTATTAGAATATCACAATTATTTTGAAATTCATTAACAAAAAACAAAAATAAGAATTCAACTTTGACACTCTGAATCTCAGAAACGATAATTTTGTGATTTTCAATATAATGCTCCATCCTAGTGGGCTACTTAGTTTTAATCTTCTTCTGAAGATGCTAACATTGTTAGCGAAACACGTGTCGAGGTGTAAAAAATTGGTTTGGTTAGTGGTAAAACAGTGTGTAGTGTATTATTAAGCTTCCAGTCTTCGATGTATATTATTATAGTAGTAGATCCCTAACTGTTATAGTAACCCAGGAAACCAGATGACGTTACAGTGACGTCTTTTTTACGTCACTTGAATGACCAAGGTGACGTCAGTAGTTGACGTCGAATTGACGTGATAATGACGTGAATAAGTCACAGCCCAATGACGTCATATTACTCACTTCGTATTGACGCCATTCACTCACCAAACTTTGACGTCTAACTGACGTCATAATGACGTCAAAATGACGATTGAATTTTGCGATGATACGTAAAAAAAAAACCTTCAACATGGTGTGATTAACACCACTAGGCTCTGATGACATTACAAAATATTGATTATGCATTATTGAGTCTGCTTGGTTGGTCCCTCCTGTGTCATGTTGATTCAATCGGCTATTCAGCAGCGCCATCCATCAGTACGCATCCTCATCAGAATGCAATCAGTTACTCGTATTTGTATCAAAAATTATGTAGTTAGTGTCGGCGAGATGTAAGCAAACAAAGAATAGTTTGATAGCAATGGAAAGGATGTTGGCGAATTTGGCTTCACTTTGTTGAATAATAATTATATATTAATGCATTCTCTGTCACCCAACAGAAGTCTAAATAGTAGATTACTGAAAAATTTCCTAAATGACGAAGCTCACCAAATTGGTACGTCACACCGACGTGATTTTTAAACGTCATAGATACGTCACTGCGACGTCATAAGAGTAACGGTTTTAATATAGGTATACCTAAACGATCATTTTTATATAAACATAGCTCATTGGTTCCCGAGATATACAGTGTGTCAAAGTTTTTTTGGAAAAAAGTTTCTCTACATTTCGGGTATATTAATAATTATAGAATAAAACTTGCATGTTGATTCGCTTTCATGAGTTATACTTCTGTTTCACATGATAACATACAGTGTCATTCATAAAGTCGGCATCATATGGGAAAAACTTTCATTAATGACTTATTTTGGAATTCGAGTTGGACGTTGAGTTATGCTTCAAAAAGATGCAAAACGGCCTACTCAATCGGGGCACGTGACTTTCGCCAACTTTTTCGAGTAAACTTTTTCGATATTCGAACTAATAAGCCTACTTTCAGCGATTAATTTGAAAAAATGTCACTTTTGACATGTAGCGAAAGTCACGTGACCCCGATTGAGTAGGCCATTTTTCATCTTGTTCGAAACAAAACTTAACGTTCAACTCGAATTTCAAAATGAGTCATTAATAAAAGTTTTTCCAATATGATGCCGACTTTATGATTGACACTGTATTAGTATCCAAGGTTTAGAGAAAGTCTGGAAAAAATGGACGTCGACAGGACGTCCCTGCAACGTCATGAAACTGACGTCTTCTTTTACCCCTCTGAGTGACGTTCACTCGACGTCGAAACGATGACGTGATTATCACGTCATAGAAAGTACGTCATAGTGACGTCATAAATTGGTGTGTGACATCTCTGACGAAAAATCACCAATAAGGGACGTCACAGTGACGTGATCATTCGTCATCTGGTTGCCTGGGAAACTTCACATTGTCATAATATTGGAACATTCTATCCCACTAAGCAAAGTTGAAAGTTATGTTGATGCAACTACTGAAACATACGTTCAGCAATATTGCAAAGATGAAGTTTGATAATGTAGCGTTGCAGCAATATTATATGTTGCTGTGACATTGCTGGAACGTTACATTCACTGTTCTAATTTGAAACGTCCTTCCACTTCCTAAATGCATTATTACTCGTAATAATAAATTTGTTAAAGTCCCCGCGTTCATAATAACACCTGTTACATATTATTTCCAGCTGGTACGACGTACCAAGTGACGGTGCGGGCAGGCAACAGCCGAGGCACTTCCAGCCTCACCGCTCCCCTCAAATTCAGCATGGCCGACGAGCACGTGACCTCCACAGCCAGCAGGGGCGAGCAGGACGGTCACGTGGGCGCAATGGTGGCGGTGGGGGCGGCTTTGGTCGTCATAGCGGCCATCTTGGTGGCGGCGGTGTGGTTCGTGAGGAGGAGGAGGCTGTTGGGAGTGAAGGATTCCGATGGAGTTGCGTTCGAGAATCCTAGTTATTTGAAGGAGGTCAATATGGATCATATCAGGGTAAATTATAATGATAATTCAAATACTTCATTATTCCTCAAAAATACATGAAAAGTTGAAGGTGGAATTCATCTTGTCTAATGTGGCGAATAAACTTACACAGCACGAGTTATTCCGCGAAAAGTTGCTACAATCATATTGCAGTTGCATTTGCAGTTGCCCATATGTGAGATATCCCAGATAGCACACGACGTCCCGGGGACGTACATATTACGTCCGATTCGGGTCCGTACGTCCCGGAACCTAATATGGACGTCCTCAGAACGTATCATGCCGTACGTCTTCGGGACGTACAGATAGTACGTTTTCAGGACGTCCATTTTTAGTCTTCATTTTTTCTATATTCGCATTGTTCACTCTTTATTTATTATATTTTCCAATAACAATAAAACATTGCCAGATGTGATCAAATGGAGAAGGAATAAGGCTTATTATTGGCTGCCGATTAATTCGATAATAGGATAATGAATCACGTGATTTTTTGTGACCAATGTGGAGAAATTGAAGTAAATCTGGCAATGTTCGCATATATATTTTTATTCTGAATAGAGTGTTATCTCTTTATTGGATTCAGAGATTTCGGAGGATATATCTAAAGATGAAATTATGTACACATTGTCTTACGTCCTGGTCTTTATATGACCAATCAGAAAATTCAGACTGATTCATAGCGAATTCCATTGAAATGAGCTGGTGGAGTGTTTCTGCACTCAATGTATATGTTTCCATCTTATACTCGCATATGTTGAACAGAGGTAAGTCTTATATTCAATAAGTGTCGTGTAGAGTTGTTGGTTAAGCATCTGCTTGGTAATTCAGAGGTCGCGTGATCGATCCCACAGTGGGAAGTATTATTGTAAATTTTGTATTCAAAATAATATTTTTTCTACTCTGTATAACTGTCTTGTTTATCTATCTGAGTAAAAAGGGCGAATCTACGTTGATTATGGTATTCATGGCGATGAAATACCAAACTTGGACTTAATATGGACGTCCCTGGGACGTTCCATCTTGTAACATCGGACGTCCCCAGTACGTCCTGTGGACGTCTTCGCCCGACACTGGACGTCTTCAGGACGTCTTGTACGTCCCAGATGTACGTCCTCTGGACGAACACAGGACGTCTTCGTGTTATCTGGGATTTGATTAAAGTCAGAAAGTCACCTTATATAATTGATTCGAATTGTCAAACAGGCCCTTTTTCCTACCTGGAATGATCCGTTGACTTGGCTTCAGGCTGACTTCCTCCATAATATTTAGATCTATGCTTCCACTTGATCATTGGCTACTTCGGAATGGACTGAAGTTGAGCACACGAGAGAAATGCCGGCACTGGTGGAAAAGATCAGTGCTGCCGATTGACATAACACTGGCATTACAGAGTGAATACAATTTTGAAATTCGAAGAATATTATATAATAATATAGACATCTCGGTGCTACCCGATAGTGCTACACCCATCCAAACAGTCAGAATCGATTTACTATATCGATTTGAATCTTGGCAGCATAACTTACGAGATTCTCCCTACTATATTTTACAATGTGTCTTCAGGAATATATTTGGATGACAAATATTTGGCATCCCTCAGTTCTTGTACGAGCTCTTGTTGTATAACGAGATTTTCCTGTCCCATGAGAACATGATACCATACACATTTTTGTGTTTTTTTTCTTCTACTTCATAAATCACTCAGAAGCTCACAAGTAGGCAATAAAACAGACCATACTTATACCTATTCAGATAATATAATTCAGGTTACTGAAATCATCATTATTTTCTGTTGTTTCTGGGTAAACATATTCAGTCCGACCGTGGTTCCAAATACTTGCGGATGAACGTCGGCAGAAAATATCAAGAAAATTGCGCCTTCCTCTTTATGTTCCATATAAGTATATATTTGTCCTACTATACAGTGGAGTGAAAGCAATGGGACACAGCGACATTATTTATACAGTCTACTCCATCGACACGATACTTTGATGAATTGTTTTGGTGGAGTATGGTGTATGAATTTCGCCCTTTCCAATTATGACGTCATTTGTGAGTCATATTTTGCTCAGAGACGACGCAGACAAGAAATTACGAAAAGAAACAATGTCAATATGACGTCTCATCAGCACATTCTGCTACCGTAAAACAACATTAGTGAATGAAATAGTTTCTTGATTGTTTCAGGTTCCCCAATCGCAAAATGACACTTCGAAACAAACGAGCGCGACCAACAACGCTTCTTCTTCCACTGACAGCCCGCAGTGGATCAGTGAAAACTTGCACGTACCTGCCCAACAAGAAGTCGACCCCACCCTGTACGAAGAACTAAAATTGGGCCAAAACGGAGCGGGTTTCAAGAGGTTGAAGCCCTAGTATGAGGATTCGAACGACGGAGGTTTCGAATCTAGGTTTTGAAAGTATTGTGATAGCCTTAGATTAGTCGCTGGTTGAGATGTTTTATGTTTTCAATATTATATGGTAATTTTGCACTTAACATATGAAGCTTTTACCCAATGGGCATCTAAGTTGAAAAAACCTTGAGAATTGGTTGTGAGACCAACTGTTTGAAGTTGGTTGGAATAACAGGAGAATAACGTTTTTTATTTTTGATCAGAAGTCATATTGAAGTTGAAAATTCGTATTTTCAACTAAACTGCTGATCAATCGAACCGCATCAACCAAATTCTTGCTCCAAATTCATTGAATATTTTCGCGAAAATTCCACTTATTGGGAAGCGGTTTTCTTCATTCTGAAGATTGATTCATTGGGTATATGACAGATAGGCCGCTGATGAAAATACATTGTAACCTTTGGCTATACAGGGTGACAAACAAACCTCTGCAAAATATTGAAAAAATCTCCATACTCATGTGGAGGAACTGTTCATCCACAGATGAATCCAGAATAAACCTGTACCATTCTGATGGACGGATTTCAATTTGGCGAAGCGAAAAAAATATGAGCCCCCAAGAAGTATTTGGTGGCGGAGGAGTTACGATATGGGGGGGGGGCGCAACACTTACAGGACGAACCAAGCAGAAGTATACAGAGAGAGATGCATTCTGCCTGTCAAAGTGCATTTGCCGAAAACTTTGGTGATGATTTTGTCCTTGTTGATGACGATGCGAGACCACATCGAGCACGAATCATCAACCAGTTATTGCAAAAACTCAACATAAATCGTATGGAATGGCCACCCAAGTCACCCGATTGTAATCCGATTGAACATGTGTGGTCACGTTTGAAATAACAAATACGATCGAGATCGAATCCAATCGAGAATATCAATCAACTGATAACTGCCATTGAAGAGGAATGGGAGCGCATATTCCACATGAATTCATTAGGAGTATATTCTACACTGAGCAACATTCCAATGATGAGTAAGAGTAAGAGAGATGAATAGGAATTCAATGATATATCACATACGTATCTGAACCCTCAACGTTTCATTTTATAAAACTTCCATCCATCTTGGTTTATCACCCTGTATTCTTTCCCCCGTTTTTTTTCCTGCAACTTCAAGGAAAGTTGCTGTCATTCAATCTCGAACACTACACAAGTTGATCAATGTGTTGTGCTCGGTCTTCCTGTAATAATATCTATCAAATATTGTTGTCAAACACTCTGTATATAAACAATATGAGATTTCATGCAATAAAAGTCACAATAACTCATCCAAGAGAAAATCTGTGATATTCGTGCTACAAATTAAAATATTTCTGGTCAGTAGTATACAAATTATCACATTTCTCGAAAAAAAAATCTATTTCTCGAAAATCTGGAAAGATAAGGAAAAAATTGCGAAACCATCTCGAGGAATATGCTTAAGAACTATGAAAATATGATCGAAAAAATTCTAAAACATTTTCCATCAAATTGGGAGTATGGGAGTATGGAGAATTTTTCAATATTTTGCAGAGGTTCGTTTGTCACCCTGTATAGCCAAAGGTTGCCATGTATTTCCATCGGCGATCTATCTGTCATGTACCCAATGGGTCAATCATCCGAATTAAAAAAGCCGCATCCAAATGAGTGAAATTTTCGCAAAATATTCGATGTTGAATTTAGAGCAAGAATGTGTGCTTGATGCGGTTCGATTGATCGGCAGTTTAATTTATCAACGAATTGTTAGATCATTATTACGTTGGATATAGGTCACTAAAACGTATTCGTCTAACGTTATCATTGATTTCGTTCGAATATGTGCTCAATGGGTATATTTGTTTCACTTCATTTCCACGTAATTTGAGGTGAAGTTAAAAAGAGATGATAATCAATTATTGAAAACAAACAACTCATGGTACTTTTTCTTAGGTATTTTCTTGTGAAGTTTGTGAATTATATTCTAACCAGCAGAAAAAACAGCCTGAATTAGATTCCACCGAATTTTTCTTCCTGTTCAACTTTTGTATTTCTTGTTCGATTTTGCTGGGGTTTCGAAGAAATTGTAAGCTGTTGTTTCGAAATGTTGCTGATGCTAGTGATATTCTTTCATTCTGAACTAACTGACGCATTTCACTTGAACTGAACTGAATCAGTTGACATGCATTGTACAAAATGTACGTCATTCGAAAGAACGATCCACTTCAGTTCTATTGAAATATTTCAGTTAGTTCAGATTGAAAGAATATTTCTCTTGATGGCTTGATCTTCCAACACGAAAATAAGAAGTTATACTTTTTCATCCACAAATTCTTAACGCTTTGTGAGCAGAAATAGAAACTAAAAAACACGCTTTGTAGTTAGCGAACTGAAACATACAAAATAAATAGAAGTTCAGAAAACTCAAAGAACAGGCTTTTATGTAGAGCCAAAATAAAAACGACAAGAGAATGAAATAATAAATATGTGCTGATAAATACACAACAGAGAAAATATTTGTAGGTTGGTACCTCCGTAATAAGTAGTTTCTTTGTTTTGTATTTATCAGCATACTCTTAATATTTTATTTTTTACTTGTTTTCAGTTTGGCTGTTTATATAAGAGTGTTTTTAATTTTTTCAAACTAATATATGTATTTGCCGGTGAGTGCTAGGAAAACGAAGTGGAGATCAGTGATATTGATTTTTCAAATTGTTATTCAAAAAGGTAATTTCCTCTTTCAGCTTTTCTTGGACAGAAAATTTAGATTAACATTCCGAAAAATGATTCTTCTATACGATGAAATTTCACTAGAATCGGAGGAGAATTGAAAAAGTTACAGGGTGATCAATTTGGTAATATTTTCTTCTAGCCAGATTTTCTTGACGATGAGGGTATGTTGAGATATTCATCAAATAAAAATCTACTTTCGTTCAAACTGAAGAATAATTTGCCAAAATTATTGTGGTCGATGTGCTATAATTTCAATTCATTTCTAAGATCCTGTTGTATATATACCTAGTTGTCTGTCTTACAATCAACCAAATATCAATAATTTAGAGTACCTATGCTACTAGTAGGAGGCCGGTTGCAAATTTCGATAGTCATCTGGTAACGAAATGATATGCAGGGTGTCCCAAAATTGCTAGGACCTTGAGCTACCAAGTGTAATTCAGTTTGAAAGAGTTAATTGGACCCAACTTATTTAAATAAAAAAAATGCATCGTTTGTCCATGAGACGAGTTCAAAGTTTACATAAAAAAACACATTTTTGTACGCTGTTCGAAAATGAGTGGAACAAATTGGATAAAATTCGACAGTAGTGCATTTTTGTATATAACTCTTCTTTTGCTGATCGAAGAATCTCGAAAGATATCGTAGAAGGGTTGAACCTCACCCCCTGACATTTTTACCAGAACATTGTTAGGAGTGGTGATAGGGTTTTCAATTTTTTTTCAAGGAGATGGCTGATCGATTTTCTCTATTTTGTTACTCCTGTCAAAATTTCGTATTATGCATAGTTCCGAAGAAAAAGAATGTTTTCTTGAATAATGCAAACGAGATATTCCTAGAAAAAGTTTGATATCAATACAGGGTGTCCCGAAATTAGCCTGCCAAACTTCACCAGCGGCATCTTCGACTAAAAATGGATGAAAAGTTTTAATGAACATGGGTCGAAAAATGTCTCCTAAGAAAGCTACGCCTCCCATGTTCATTGGAACCTTTCTTCCTTTTATTGATCGTAGAAGCAGCAGGTGAAACGGCACCTGTTGTGGGCAAAATGATTGATGAATTGTACTTTCCTATGCGGTAAATTGCACTCTATTGATGACGAGATAAAATTCATGCCATTTGAAAACAATTGAATGGTAGATCTCAGATATCCACCTGTGCCACTCCTAATCTGAGTGAAATCCACAGCACATCAATTTATTTGCTGCAATTATTCCGGACATACTCCCGTCATGTGATAATAACGAGTTGAAACAAAAAGCAGACAAAATAATATAATGTTCTTTTTGCGAATATCCAAACGTACCGCGAATCAAACTGATTTGAGGTAGTGGCGGAGCGTTCAGTATTTCCGAGAATATTTCGCCCCTGTAGAAAGATAATATCCGATGGACCAGTGTAAAACTCATGTGGTGTTCGCACTACAAGTATTCAAATCCACATATGTTGAGTTTTGAAGGTTTGACACTCGTCCATCGGATATTATCTTTCGACAGGGCCGAATTTTCTCGGAAACATCATTGCGACGCTCTGCCACCCACTTATATCAGTTCGAATCGCGACATGTTTGTATACAGGGTGTATCTAAATAACACCGAAAAAATTCAAAAGGTGATTCCTCTTGATATTTAGGGAAATAAAGTTTTTCTTTCTTCGTTTTCGACATACAGGGTATTAATATCTACATGAAAAATCTTTTTTCTATTCATTTCTCAATTGTCTTTCCATCAATTTCAATAAATCGTTGAGGTTTTGTTGATAGTAATATATAGTATGGAGCTTCTTTTAGTGCGATTTGATTCGAAATAATATTTCCAGTGGCATCACAGTCGGTAAATTTATCGATATTCATGGTGAATGTCATTGTACGCCACTGGTTTTTCTGAGTTTCATATTTTCATTAGATTGAACTATTGAAATAACAACTTTTTTATTCATTGTGTGATTTTTGTATCTAGCTTAGTTTTTGAGGAAACAATAAAAATTCGATTGGACTCCAAATTTTAATATAGGTGTATTCGAGACTTTCATTGAGATTACTCAATAACCCCAATTAGAATCATTTTGAAATACTGGGGCTTTCTGAGTCCCTATCCACACTGAATTCTGGCACCATGAAAGCTCATACAGGGGGGTTATAAATAAAAACATATGATTGTTTTTATTTATAGCTCCCCCCCCCTCTGCTTAAGCTTCCATGGTGCCAAAATTCAGTATGGATGATGAAGACTGAGAAAGCCCCAAAATTTCAGAATTATTCTGATTGGGGTTATTG